TATCGCAAATGAATACCTGCATATAAGATTTCAGAAAAGGCGAAAGAAATTCAAGCTTATAACTGTCACATGTTTTTTCAAGATTGAGCTTCAACGGCTTAGAGGTATCAAGATTCTTTGTGATCTTTGCATTAACTATGTTATTGACAAGCTTGACGACCCAATCTTGATCATATTTATCGCAAATGAATACCTGCATATAAGATTTCAGAAAAGGCGAAAGAAATTCAAGCTTATAACTGTCACATGTTTTTTCAAGATTGAGCTTCAACGGCTTAGAGGTATCAAGATTCTTTGTGATCTTTGCATTAACTATGTTATTGACAAGCTTGACGACCCAATCTTGATCATATTTTTCAGGAAAGAACGGCTTTAATTCTTCAGAAAGTTTATCCGTGTGCTCCTTCAATACATGCTGCATCTTGGATTCAAAATATTCAAACCTCTTGCCGGGGCAGCGAGGGCAGACCCAGAACTTCCATGTATGTTTCTCCTGGTAAAACTCCAGGGCCTCAGTTATTATATGCAGAAACCGACTATTTTGCTCTGACCATTTTTTGAAATCATTAACATTCACTCGTATGAGGTCTCGCCATAAATATTCTAGACAGGATGGAATTCTATAAGCTTGTTCCTTTTCTGCCAGCATCACCTTGCAGTGTGCAGAAGCAATGGGACTCTTGAGCATATTCAATAGAAAACGGAACCTTTTCTGATAGTGGTTCACCTCAGTGGCAGAGATTTCTAGGCCTGTTTTATCTTCATAACCCTGGGGCAAGAAATCGTAATGGTTAATAATCACAAAAGCACGCTCACACTCCTTGGCTGCCTCTTCGAATTTTCTGTGCAGAACAAGAAGCCTCACATAGTGGAAAGAAAATTCAAGAATGTTGGGGGAGAGTATGGTGGCTTGATGTGCTGAGTCGATGGCCTCTTGTATTTTTCTGTTCCAGCCCTCGGGATCGTTGGTGAGGGTCTTGAAATAGTTGCAGAGCACTAAACTGCGGGTGTAGTGGAATAAGGAAGAGGATTCGTGCTGGTGACGAACATTGTTAAGAGTGTCGTGGGCACCGATGAGGTCACCTTGACAGAGGAATTGAAAAGCTTGTCTACAGAGTATCTTCACCTCTTCATCAGGAGGGTGAGGATTTGTGCTTGTGGAAACAAGTGAAGAAGAGGAGGAATGAGAAGGGCAGGGTTCTTCACCTTGATGAGAGGATGGAAGAGCCTTCTCAGCAAGGTCCTTCACGTTGTCAGGAGGGAAAGAAGCAATGGAATTTGCAGGGCAGGGTTTATCACCTTGAGCCTGGTCATTGAGGCTTTGCACCTCATCAGGAGGAGGATCTGCGCTTCTGGAAGCAAGTGAAGAAGAAGAGCATGAAGCAGGGCAATTTTCCATGATATCTGTAATTGGACCAACAGAATGTGCCCGTAAAATGAACATGAGGCTTTGTTGGTAGAAGGCCATCTGATTTTCAGTAGTCTCCTCCAAGAAGTTCTCGAAGAAAAAATTGATCGGTTCAGTAACTGCAAGAGCTCGTTCACACTCATTGACGGCCTCTGGAAATCTTTCACTGCAACAAATGAGAAGGTTGACGTAGAAGAGAGAATACTCGAGGTTGGAGGGGGAGAGTTGGGTGGCTCTCCGAGCAGATGCAATGGCTTCTTGGAACCATTGTTCTTTTGCTTCAGGATCATCATTGTGGGTATATGCATACCCATAATAGTGGACTAATGCACATATACGATGGAAGAAGGCAAAGGAAGTGCGACGTTGGTAGTTTGCTTCTTGCAACAAGCGATCAGCCTTGGTGAAATTATTTGAATCAAGTAATGCCAGAGCTCTCTCACAGATATCCAATACCTCCCTGCAGACAGGGCATGATGAATCATAGAGCTCCGATCGATTAGGGCATCTCTAGCTATAATCAAGAACGATCGCAGCTCTTCTCTATAGTAAATGATCCAACCCTCCTCAGTGGTTACATGGCTGGCTTCTTGAAAATTCAACTCCCTCAAATAATCAGCAGTGTCTGAGATGGGGTTGGTAACAGCAAGAGAGCGTTCACATTCCTCAATGGCTTCTTCATACCTTTGACAGTAGGAAATGAGGAGCTTGACATAAAAGAAAGAGAACTCAAGGTTGGATGGAGAGAGTTGTGTCGCTCGATAGGCACAAAAGAGTGCTTCTTGAATGCAGAGATTCTTGGCTTTGGGATCTTCCTCCAAGGATTCAGATCTGAATAACTGGATGACAGAATTGATACGGAGTAAGGCAAGGTTAGCATCCTTCATCAAAGAGTCGGCCTTGTCGTATTCATGAGAACAGAGTAATTGCTTAGCCTTCTTGCATAAGGACCTCAGCTCGCCATTGACGGAGGATGAGGAGGAAGAGGATGGGTCACAAGTCTCTGAGTGGTCCATGGAAATCTTGGGGGAGGAGTGGTTTTGTTTTTTCTTTATGAGAAGGAAGGAAGAGGATGGTGGTTTCTCTCCTCAGTTCTTGATTGATTGAGTTGTGTTTTATATCCTCAGCTCTCTTGTTGGTTGTGGAGGAAGAAGAGGAAGGTAAAGGGAGGCGAGGCTGCGAGCCATGGGGATGGAGTGAAAGAAGGGGCTTTTGATTTTCTCTGCTCTCAAGGAGGACGGTGGTGGTTTGTTTTTTATCAGTTCTTGAAGATGGTTACATATCCTCAGAGGCCAGCATCAAATGGTTAGTTTAAAAGGCAGAGGAGGGCGCTAAACCGGACTTCTGAACCGGGCCCATGACAGTTACAATGGGCGCTTTAGCTTCATTTCAAGTGAGGCGGGACCCGGCATAAGAAGGAAGGAGGAGGGTGGTGATTTGTTTTTTCAGCTCTTGGTCGAACGGTTAGTTTAAAGAGGTAGAGGAAAATGCTGAACGGGATATATCAACCCGGTCGGTGACGGTTATAACGAACGGTTCAGGTTGATATTCGAGTGTTGGCTTGGAACCTTCTGCTTTCCTATATAAGGGAATAAGAAGTACTAGTTGAGGGGGGCACCAGGCTGGGTTGACATTGAATTTTTGAGTTTTGTTTTAGTTCTTTATTCTTCGCTGTTAGTTTCCACAATCTCAGCTGCATTTAATTTTCTCTAGTTTTTCTGTTTCATCGACAAAAGTTGTGGGATTCTCTCAAATTCTCTTAATTGGCCAAGTTTTCGTGTTTTTTTTTGTTCTTTCCAGAATTCATCTGCAACTTGCTGACCTTAAGAGATGACAAGTACTTAATTGAGAAATTTTTACTCCGTCAAGAACCTGTGACCATCATCAGCTCTGATGTTGAAGGAAATCTGGAAGAAATACTAGATCACTGGATGACCAACTCAACCTGATTGATGCTGCTCCACATAGCAATAGAGTATCAAGCTGTGCGGCTGCTGCATTCAGGTACCTTGGATTATGGTTTTTGTGATTTTGGTCCGCGATGTCTATATGTATTTTGAAAGAAGTCACTCAAATCTTGATATTATGAAACAAGTCCTATAAATTCCATTAGTTACCCCGAAATTAGTCCATGGTCCATGTTACCCTTTCCCTGATAGAAGTTAACTCAGTTTAGAAACCCATTATTTGATAAGCTACCCTTGTTAGCAATTAGTTATGGAGGAAAAAGCAGGTTAGGATTTAAAACCATTCAACCTTGGTTGTCCATGGAGTTGTTGAAAAAGCAGATTTTCGATGAACAGTGTATCTGTCGACCGACCTCAAGATCAGTCGACCGATGAAACCCTCTGGAATTGTGAAAAATTTCTGCTCGGTCGACTGATAGCTGATCGGTCGACTGATAGCTGATCGGTCGACTGATAAGCGTTCCTCGGTCGACTGATAAGCTCGTGTGCATGCCAAATTGACCTGCTCCTCCTCCCCCACCCGCCGCCCTCCCTTCCCCTCCCCTCCCACAGCCTTCCCCTTCTCCACCTCCCCCGGCTGCAACCACCCCTCCTTCCAAGTACACTGCTCCTCCCCTCACTCCCTCCTCTCCATCAACTCCCTCCCCTTCCTCCTCCTCTCCCTCCTCGGTCGACTGATAGTAACTTTAAGCTCTCAAATTGACCTACTTCCCCGTCAGATGAATGTTTTTCAGCTAAAAATATGTTTTGTTTGGTTCTTTTAATAAAGATCTATTTACGACTGGCTACCTGGATTTGTGAACTGACTTTTTGCAATCAGATAGACTATTGAATATCCTGCAGAAACAAGTCTGCAGATTATAATCCAGGCTATCAAGAGTTGTTGGAGCTTTACGTGTCTGGAGTGAGTTATGAAGGTAATTCCCGATTGCATCTAGTTTCCATTCACGATAATTTAACTATTATTGACTCTTCATATGAGTTTATTATTATGTCTTATAATTGGGGCAGAGAGAAAATATGAACTGAAAAGTTTTTATCTGTACTTCTGTTATTTTATGAGTTGAAGTTTCTGTTTGCAATGACATATCGTACTTGATAATTAGCATCAAGCTTGGATCTTTTCCTATGACAATTGGCATCCATTTTCTACATGCATTATGTATGAAGTATAACTCTAAGAAGGTTGCAGAATGAATGTGCTGATATGCTTGACATCAGTATGGGATGAACCATCTTATTCTTAGCCTCAGAAACATCTGCTAATATACTGTGTAGGATAGACTGGGGTTTGCATTTTAAACTACTGCATAATGTTAACATCTGCTAATATACTAAGTACGATAGACTGGAGTTTACATTTAAACTACTGCATAGTGTTAACATGTCATTTTTATTCTCTGATCAAAATAATTTAATTTGTTTATTACATGCAATGTTATCATTGTAATTTGATTCGACAGTGGCTACTGTCGGAAGAGTTTGCTTCTCTTGCTTCTATATTTTCATTTGTTTCTTTCAGATTTCATTAGCATTAGCATTAGCATAATTTCATTCTCTTCATAGTTATATATGTTCTCTCCCTCATAGTTATGTTTGCTAGTAAGGTGTCCCCGTATCTTCTTATGCTTTGTTTCTTTAGAAATGCAATTATGCACATCACTGCTCAATCATGTCTTTTTATGCTTACCAAGTCTAAACTTGTTGAAAGAAATAGAAACGCACCGAGTTCATTCCTAAAACTTGGGAGTGGTATACGGACGTATTTTTTTTCTTAGGGTGTGTTTGGATTTCAATGGGGTTAAGGGAAGTTAAGGGAAACTAGGTGAGAGAATGGAAGGGAATGGAAGAGAGTTCCCTTCCCCTTGGTTACACCCCAATTTGAAGGGTAACAAATTTTATACTATTAGGGGGTGAACCAAGGGGAACTAGGGTGAATAACTTCACCTCCTAAATGTTCCCAAATAAGGTGAATGATTCCCCTAACTTTACTTCACCCTTATTCCCCTCAATCCAAACAAGCCCTTAGATTTTTAGTGCTAGCCAGTTCACAACTTAATTTCTAGACTAGTAAGTCCTTTGTGTCCTTCAAACCATTACTGCCTTTATTAAATATGGGGAAAAAAAATATTGAAAACAAACGTAATATGCTGCAAGCGCAGATCCTGACACAACATTAATTTTCAAACCATAAAAGCAATTCACGAAGAACCTCTCGCGACTTGAAAACCTTGAGAACTTGAGATAGATGCTTAAATTTAACATGGGACAATTGAAATTAGGTCAGCATGAATAATATCCTATACTATAGAAGGCTCTATGGACATAATGCATGGTTACATAACAGTTGCAGCAAAATCTATGAACAGAGTTCAAATCTTTTATTCCAGAGCAGATTGAACTAAAGATAAAGAAAATGATATTTTCGGCCAAATTTATTATCAGTCAAATTTGAGAAGTGTGGATTTCTACAAATTGTTTATGAGTAACTTGAAAAGAGACATTTGTAAAGATATGGCGCCAAAAAATAATTGATCACATAGATGATGGTCAAAAGTACTTGGGACTGTTGTTATTGTTACTATTTTTTGAAAATATGCCGTGGCACTGCAAATTCAATCAAATTTAGTATGATAATGCTAAACTCCATCTAGTTGCAGTATCAATCACAGTAAAAGAATCTGAACAACACAATTCATAACTATCTGAACTTTGTGCCTTTGGGTTTGTTGCTCTTCTTTATACCCTTTGAAATCTCCAGTATTTGTTTCTCTGCTCTTTTATCTGTGCTACTTTGTCAGGGACTGAATCTGTCGAGTGAGCTGGAAGAGCACTGGACCTGTCAGATGAGATGGAAGAGTTGTTTGTCAGGGACTGAATCTGTCGAGTGAGCTGGAAGAGCACTGGACCTGTCAGATGAGATGGAAGAGTTGGAATACTGGAACACTAGAAGAGGACTGAACAAAGGCTTGGGGGTCTGTGTGCAATACCTTTAAGTCTAGGGTCATTGTAATAAAGGTTTAGAGTCTGTTACAAGTAGTTAAGAGTTGTTACAAACTGTTAAGAAACAGTTAAGTCTGTTTTAGGTCCGTGCACGGTTTGTGCATGTTTCTTGTTTCTTTTGCTTAGAGCGACAATATAAAAGAAGAGATGTAAACTGAGATCATTATGAATGAAATGAATTGATTTCTTCTCTTCAACTCAATCTAAATCTCACTCTCTCTCAAATTCTTTCTTAAATTCTCTCTGGTAAACTTCCCCTTTCCCTCAGTTCAGAGTTTTCATGGCCAGAAGTACAAGTAAAAGGTTCAATAGAGGGACACGATCCTCTCAATTGGTATCAGCGCAGGTTGAAGATGAAGCAGAAGCTGAAGATTTCATGGAAGATCAAGCAAGAGTTTCAGCAGACGAGGCAATGCTACAGGGAGTTCAACTGGAGGAAACCATCACCAGTCGAGGAGTCCTCAACCAGATGACTCGCGTGGAGGAGACCCTCAATCAACAAGGACTCATCAATCAAGAAGTAATGACTCAATTGAGAGAGTTATCTTCTCAATTGCAAGAGCTCAAGAACACCAGGGATCGAGCAACTAGGAGTTCATCAAACACTGGAGTGAGAAGCGATCAAGGAATCTTAGGACCAGGATCAAGAAGTACTCGTGGAATTCTTGGATCAGGTAACAGGGACCAAATTCATGAGAGTGATCATCAAACACAGGAGGTTTGATTTTCCTGGTGAAATTTCCCTAACTCAAAGCCGAAATCAGGGTAATTTCTTGACTCAAAAGAATTCCTTCTTTAGTAATCAGAAGTTAGTTCAACCGAAATCTCTGAGACTGGATTTCCCTTCTTTTTCTGGTTCTGAGAATGTGGTGTCTTGGTTAGAACAAACTGAGCAAATATTTGATTACTATGAGATCCAGGAGGATGAATGGGTTAAGGTCTGCTCTTTTTACTTGAGGGATGAAGCCCTACAGTGGTTTTCCAAGAATTGCCCCACCTACCTCCTGCCAGGGAGATAGACCACAGAATTCCACTTGAACCTGGAACAAAACCAGTGTGTATTAGGCCCTACAGACATGCACACTTATTGAAGGCAGAAATTGAAAAGCAAATTGAAGAGATGTTGAAGAAGGGAATAATTAGACCAAGCCATAGTCCTTTTTCTTCACCTGTAGTCATGGTTAAGAAGTCAGATGGAAGCTGGAGAATGTGTATAGACTACAGGTCCTTAAACAAAGCCACCATTAAAGATAAATTTCCTATTCCAGTCATAGATGAACTATTAGATGAGCTTCATGGGACACAATTTTTTACCAAATTGGATTTGAAATCTGGATATCATCAAATAAGGATGCATAGATCTGATATTCAAAAGACTGCTTTTAGAACTCATAGTGGACACTTTGAGTTCTTGGTTATGCCCTTTGGTCTCACAAATGCTCCTTCCACATTCCAGGCTCTCATGAACACTATTTTCAAAAGGTTGCTCAGGAGGTCTGTGTTAGTTTTTTTTATGACATCCTGGTATACAACAAAGGTTGGCAAGATCATTTGGTGCATTTACAACAAGTATTCCAGATTATGAAGGACCACCAGCTAGTTGCCAAGATGTCCAAATGCAGTTTTGGGCAAAAACAAGTTGAATATTTGGGGTACATTGTGTCACAAGAAGGGGTTAGTGTAGACCCTAGTAAAATTCAGCCTATCATTGAGTGGCCCTTTCCTAAATCACTCAAGGGGTTGAGAGGGTTCCTAGGCTTAGCTGGTTACTACAGAAAATTCATCAGGAATTTTAGAACAATTGCTCAGCCTTTGACACATCTCTTGAAGAAGTGTCATTTTGGTTGGAATCCAGATGCAGAGGCTGCTTTTAAATCTTTGAAGATGGCACTAACAAATTCTTCAGTCTTGGCTATGCCTGACTTCAATTTATCATTTGTGATTGAATGTGATGCATCTGGGACTGGAATTGGGGCTGTGTTGATGCAAAGGGAAAGACCCATAGCATATTTCAGTTTTGCCTTGAAAGGGAGAAATGCTACACTATCCACTTATGAGAAGGAGTTATTAGCTATAATTCTTTCTACTAGAAAGTGGCAGCAATATTTGCTTGGTAGAAGCTTTGTGATAAGAACTGACCATCAGAGTCTTAAATACATTTTGGAGCAAAGGATTCATGCAGGAGTTCAGAACATATGGCTTGCTAAGTTACATGGATATGATTATATTGTGGAATATAAGCCAGGAAGAATGAATAAAGCTGCAGATGGATTGTCCAGAATTCATGAAGATGAAGTGGAAATTTCAGCCATCTCTATGGTCAATAGTGACTGGTTGCAGGAGATTAAAGTCTTATGCACTGATGATGTTTTCTTCCGGGAGCTTGATGAGAAAATACAGCAAGGTCAATTGAGTACTGAGGAGTACTCCAGGAAAGAGGGAATTTATTACTTATAAGGGTAGAATTCTAATTAGTCCTAATGCTCAAAGGTTGAAGACCTCTTTGTTGAAAGAACATCATGATAGTCCTTCTGCTGGTCATTCTGGTATTACCAGAACTCTTCATAGACTGAGGAGGGTTTTTTACTGGAAGGGAATGAAAAAAGATGTCCAGTCACATGTTCAAGCTTGTGATACCTGTCAAAGAGCTAAGGGAGAAAATGTGGCATCTCCAGGGCTCTTACAACCACAGCCTATTCCAGAGTATATTTGGGAGGATTTGTCCATGGATTTTATCACAAAATTACCAAAAAGTGGATCACAATCTGTAATCTTTGTGGTGGTTGACAGGTTATCAAAGTATGCCCATTTCTTTGCTTTGGCACATCCCTACACTGCTCAATCTGTTGCCCATGTGTTCTTTGAAGGGGTGTTCAAACTTCATGGGATGCCTAAATCCATAGTTAGTGACATGGACTCTTTATTCACTAGCTTATTTTGGAAGGAGCTCTTTAAATTACAGGGAAGCAAGCTCAAATTCAGCTCAGCATATCATCCCCAAACTGATGGACAAACTGAAATTACTAATAAAAATCTGGAATGTTATCTTAGGTGCTTTTGTTGCCATAAGCCAGGAGAATGGAGTAAGTGGTTACCATTGGCTGAGTTATGGTATAACACTACTTGGAAAGTTGCTACCAATACTACCCCATTTGAAGCAGTGTATGGTAGGCCACCTCCATCCTTGCTCTCCTATATCCCCAAGAGTTGCAAAGTGGAATCTGTAGATGCAGCTCTTTTTTCCAGAGACATAACTCTGCAATTTCTTAAAGACAGCTTGAAGAGGGCAGTTGAATAAATGAAGAGATTTGCTGATAAGCACAGGAGCCATAGAAGTTTTGAGGTTGGTGACTGGGTCTTTCTTAAGCTTCAACCCTACAGACAGTTAAGTGTATCTTCCTACAAAACTCATAAGCTCTCTCCTAAATATTATGGCCCTTACCAAATCTTAGAAAAAATTGGTGAAGTTGCCTACAAGCTGTCTCTTCCTAACCAGGCACAGATTCATCCTGTGTTTCATGTCTCCCAACTTAAAAAAAAAGATAGGTACTGATGTTGTCCTTCAAAATGATCCTCCTAGCTATGTTGCTGAATTGGTAGATGAACCTGAAAAGATTTTGGATAGAAGATCTTTAGTTCAGGGGAAAAGGCTTATATCACAGGTTTTAATTAAGTGGAAACAACGTTCTCCTTTGGATTCTACTTGGGAATCTTACTGGGATCTTGTTAAGAGGTTTCCTGCCTTTGACCTTGAGGCAAGGTCCAGTTTAAGGGGAAGGGAGTTGTCAGGGACTGAATCTGTCGAGTGAGCTGGAAGAGCACTGGACCTGTCAGATGAGATGGAAGAGTTGGAATACTGGAACACTAGAAGAGGACTGAACAAAGGCTTGAAGGTCTGTGTGCAATACCTTTAAGTCTGGGGTCATTGTAATAAAGGTTTAGAGACTGTTACAAGTAGTTAAGAGTTGTTACAAACTGTTAAGAAACAGTTAAGTTTGTTTTAGGTCCGTGCACGTTTTGTGCACGTTTCTTGTTTCTTTTGCTTAGAGCGACAGTATAAAAGAAGAGATGTAAACTGAGATCATTATGAATGAAATGAATTGATTTCTTCTCTTCAACTCAATCTAAATCTCACTCTCTCTCAAATTCTTTCTTAAATTCTCTCTGGTAAACTTCCCCTTACCCTCAGTTCAGAGTTTTCATGGCCAGAAGTACAAGTAAAAGGTTCAATAGAGGGACAAGATCCTCTCATACGTTCAGCGGTATGGAGGAGTTTCATCAAATGTGCTGCCTCTGATGGTACGGGCTCTCTCGTGGTTTGCTCTGCTGCTTTTTTCATAATGACTTCTTGATATTAAAACAACTAGTGTGCGTCCCGTGCGAAACACGACATTCCCTTCTTTTTTTATTGCTACACTAATGCTATTTTCTAATTACCACAGTATTTTTAAATAGGATAAGGCTTTTTTTTTTCAAAATGCTACTGTAATATTTTTAAAAAAATGCTACAATATCCCCTGCTACACTAACACATTAAAAGGCACAATAATACTTTTAATAATGCTACAGTATCCCATCCCACTCATGCTGCAGTAATGTTCTTTTGAAATGTTACAATAAATTAATGTATTATTTACTGTAGCATAAATAGCGATGTTTGGTCCATAAGAATAGATAAAAAAAAAAGAGAAGGATAGTGAGCAAAGAAGCAGTGAGGATAAATTTATGAAAAAACAAGTAAAATAGCCCAATTGAACACCTGGATATAAATCTTCAGAAGAGGAAAAAGAACTACAAGAAAATCAATCACACAATTCTGTTCAAGATTGAGCTGCAACTGCCTAGCTGTAGCAAGATTTT